AAAGAATATTGCATAGAATTGAAAGGCCTAAATGCATTTTGATAGTCACATTCTTGAATGTCGTTATGTAATTTGGGATGGGGCATAGACCGCATTTAATCTTACAAAAAATGCAGTGAGGGATAAAATGACCCATCTCTTACGCGACTAGCGACAGGCCCCAAGGATTCAATTATTTAGCGCACTTCGATTTAGAAAAGTTCTTTCTTTGAAAAGTAGTGCGTGATAAGATTGTTAAAATAGTTTTTGTGATAAAGTTTGTAACTTTTATACGGAAGTTTAATCAAATTAGCGGCTGGATAGACTGCGTGTCTCAATGAGAGAGTGAAAAATCACTTGTTTTGGAGATTGAATTCTCAATTATTAATATTTTTTAACCTAATTACTAACTTAAATACTAATCATTATCTTTTTCAAAAAACAAAAAAAAAAATTTGTAATTTTCTAATATTGGTGAATGTAAGGTTCTGATTCCGTCGGCAGAGAAGTGTAGATGGATCTAATACATAAATAACTAGTTATTAATCATAATTTGAGTTTAAATTTAGAAGATTTTGTAAACTTTAATTTGAAAAATTATTAGATTAAAAGAGAGTTTTTTTTTTTGAATTAATTTTTTTTTAATATTAACCTTAATACTTAAATCCTAAATCTAACTTACAAAATAATATTTATCTATAAGTGAATTCAACTCATTATTATCCAACCCTCGGACCAACAACAGGTTTTAATCCCTATTATTTTAGTATAAATTGGCTTTACATTTTCTTCTTATTCAAAATGAATTTGCTAAGATGGTACTGTAGCAGTAGTATTAAAATACCAGCTTTATCCATTATTTATTCACAAGTTGAAGTAAGTGGGTAAATATCAGTGATTTTTTAATTTAGGAAAGTGGAGGAACCGGTAAACATCTCAAGAGCCAAGACCAGGCTCTCTAAAAATTGAAACAAGAATATGGACTGATTCTTACTTTCATAAATTTAATTAGAAATCATTAAACATGCACAATTGGCTATATGTGCTTGCCAGTAAGGTCTTAATGCAGTCAAGTACTCCCTTGATAATAAAATCTCAACAAATTTTTGGTCGGAATTTCTCATCCCTTGGTTGCTGATATGTGAAGAAGCTTCTCTTAAGTGGTAATTAATTAACGGCAATGCCACAAATACAATACTATGTTATGTTTTACATTGTATGATAAGAAATAATACTAAATGAGTGAGTGCATATAATATTAATATTATGTAACTTTTAAATAAAAAAAGTTAATTATATAATTTTAATTAAGTCATTTATATATAATTATAAGAGTTAAATTTACTAATAAGTAAATCTTATTTTGTAAGTCAAATCTAAAATTTGAGTTTTGAAATTAGTATATAATAAAATTAATTTCTTTAATTGTAATAACTCAATATAAAAGAAATTCCTTTAAAATTATCTGAAAAAAAATTAGTTTTGAAATAATTAAAAGTTAACTTAAAAATTCTCCAATAATAAATACTAAAATAAAAAAAAAGAGTCATTTGTACATACTATTGTATGCAAAAATATGGTACATGAATCATTTTCCTATAATTAATGTAAAAGTTGGTCTATGATTCATCGTGTTTGCATTTGTAGGATGACAAATGCTATTGAAATTGAGACCCAACAGTCTATAGAGACATGGACAAACAGACAATTCTCTCGATTTTAGAGCATTTTAATTCATAATTTCGTAGGTTTGATCGTGCGATGTTTTCTTGTCTTCTCTTTTCCTTTTATCGAAGTTAATGTATACTACAATCTCATGACGACTAATTAAGCTCTTCGGGAGGTCTCATTAAACGTATACAAGAATTTTAATAAAAATAAAAAATTTATATTTATATTGAAATTTATGTCAACAACATAAATAAATTTTTTAATAAAAATAAAAAATTTTAAATTTAAATTTAAATACGTAAATTGATAAAAATAAAAGATAATTACTTTTTTTTTTTAAACATATTTTATAAGAGGCGGATTTCAAACCCTGTCAAGGAGAATGCACTAATAATTAATGTTACTAGACTTCAAGGGCCAGATGCATAATTACTTTTTATTTAATGATTCATTTAACAAAAAAAGTAATAAAAGAAAAAAAGGGAGAAGAGTTAATTTAATTTTGTTGAACATGTCCTCTTAATTTTCTTCGTTGAAACTGTATTCCTCCTTATGAATCATGATTGAAATTTAAAACCGGTCAAGGGCGGCTGCTCTGCTGTGATTGAAAAATGTTGAAAAATACACAAGTTACCTGGCTTTATGTTGAAATGACAAATATGCCATCAGCTCCATTTAAAAGGAGAAACCAATCCATGGAAGAACCTCAACCTCAAATGAACTTTGGAACCATCTGCAAACTGCAAACGCTATGGGATTATCTTTCAGTTGCTTCGGCGCAAGAAAAATCGATGAAGGGTATGCAATGAAAGAAAAAAAAGTTCCAGAAATTAATTCATTTCAGCTTAATTTTCAGATATCTCTGGTTTAAACTTGGATTTTATTTGATGAAAATGTTTTTAGGATAAGAACGGTGTCTACAGGTACTAATACATGGAGAATATTCACGTACAAAGAATTACATGCAGCAACGAATGGATTTAGTGAAGATTACAAGCTTGGTGAAGGAGGATATGGCAGTGTTTACTGGGGTAAAACAACAGATGGCCTTCAGGTATGTACATTCGTATATATAATCTTAGGTCCTGTTGAGTACAGTCGCAAAATATATCGACTAGTTAATTGATTTTGTTATTGAATAACGAATTCAGATAGCTGTGAAGAAATTGAAAGCAATGAACTTGAAAGCAGAGATGGAATTCGCAGTGGAAGTGGAAGTTCTTGGAAGGGTTAAGCACAAGAATTTATTGAGACTTAGGGGATACTGTGCAGGGACGGATCAGAGGCTCATAGTCTATGATTTCATGCCCAATCTGAGTTTGCAATCTCATTTGCACGGTCGATTTTCCGGAGACGTCCAGTTGGATTGGAAAAGGAGAATGAACATTGCAATTGGTTCTGCCGAAGGCATCCTGTAAGCTTCTGCTTTACGCCTCTTCACTCTTGCTCAACATTACCCTGCATAATTTTAAAAACTGAAATTTTTTGTACTGATACTGTTAGGTACTTGCATCATGAGGTAACGCCTCATATCATTCATAGAGACATTAAGGCTAGTAATGTTCTCTTGGATTCAAACTTTAAGCCACTGGTTGCGGATTTCGGTTTTGCAAAGCTAATCCCTGAAGGTGTCAGTCACATGACAACCCATGTTAAGGGAACTCTAGGGTACCTAGCACCTGAATACGCTATGTGGGGGAAGGTTTCTGAGAGCTGTGATGTCTATAGTTTTGGCATTCTCCTCCTTGAGCTAATTACCGGGCGAAAGCCAATAGAAAAGCTACCCGGACGCGTGAAGAGGACCATAACAGAATGGGCAGAGCCACTGATAAGCCAAGGGAGGTTCAGGGACCTCGTGGATCCAAAGATCCGAGGAAATTTTGATGAGAATCAACTAAAGCAAGCCATTAATGTTGCTGCTCTTTGTGTGCAAAGTGAACCTGCGAAGCGGCCTAATATGAAGGAAGTAGTGAGTATGCTAAAAGGGTATGATAACACAAATGGCAAGGCCTTGCAAATGATGAGAATAGAAAGTGTCAAGTATAAAGAAGAGTTAATGGCACTTGACCAAGCAACGGATGATGAAGGTGTCCCAGAGGAAAGTGGGTAGGGCGCTTGTAGTGCCATAGAGACGCAGAAGATGTATGATCCTTACAAGCATTATGGAGATGGGAAAATAGCATTGAACGTTCGGTAAGAAGTTTTATCTGCGGATGTACGTGCCTTAGATTACTGTCCGGTAGTGGTGACAGGAACAAATCGAGAAATGATCTAAATTTTTTCCCTGATGAAAAAAAAAAAAAGAAATGAGAAGGCATTATTTGTCTTTGTTTAGATATATATGACAAGGAGAAAAGGTTTGGGATTAATATGTAGAGTCTGGTCCTGTAAGCCATATTGTTATGCAAAATGAAGAAGGAACTTCTCATGAATTTTTAAAAATAAACTTAAATTAAATAAATAAAAAAAAAAAAAAGAATCGGGAAGATGAAGATCTACCCCAAGCTGGACATGGCGTTGAATATAAGATTGTAGCAGAGTTAAGTTAAATAAAATAGGATTGAATCATTCTATTATTTTTTTTTATGTGAATAATTTTAATAAATTATATTCGTCATTTTTTAAAGTCAAAATTTGCTCAATATCTATAAATAAAATAATTTGTAAATATTGTGGGATTAGTCAGCCTCACAACTCAATACACATGTTATGTTAGAAAAAAAAAAAAAAATTCCACTTGTTAAGCTAGAAAAAGAAAATCTAGCTTTGAATTATCACTCATTTTCTATCTGGTGTAGCGTGCCGAACAACAGGCCTCGATTTAAAAAAATAAAAAATAAACCAGTAGCCCTCGGTAGTCACAGCCTAAGCCTAAAGTGCATGGCCCAGAGAAATGAAGACTTGATCAAGCCCATTGGGAAAATATATCAAACAAAAATCTTCATTTAATGTAAAACGCTTGAGGTCCCAAAACAGAAGCCCATGACAAGATACTCAGGCCTTGTTAGTACAGAGATCTTTAAGTGTAAATAAAACCAAAGACTAAAACTAAACGAGAATAAACTGAAATGAAAATGGGCATACCATGAGTTAGCTTTTATAGGTGAAATTGCTAATTTCACTCTTAAGTAGTCATAAATGTTGGGACATGTCTGTTAGGATCAGATATTGGTGTCAACCAACCAGGGGTTGGATCAAGTGACAAGCGACTTGTTCCAGCTTAAATAAAATCTCGTGTTCGAGACCTTGTATACGCAGCAGGTTTCGTTGGGAGACCCACCCACCATTCTGGTGCACCACAGCTGGTCGAGTTCGGAGTAATCGGGGTGAATCCTCGGATACCGGGCGAAAAACCAAAAAAGATATTGGTGTCAAGGATCAACCAGCTGAAAAACATGTGTTAGGCCAAAATAGGTTGACTATTGTATTACGGTGCTTCCATTTAAGTAAAAAATTATCAAAATAGCTTTATCACCTTCTGTGACAACTATATATAGTACCTTATGGTTCTCAAGAATTGCTTCAATTAAGAGGTTGAATTTTAATTTTAAATTTTAAATTTCAAGTTTTGAAATGAGTGAGGAGAAATTTGAAAGGAAAATAATTATTTTTTACTATATAATTCATCATCTAACATATCATCCCTTATTGTATGCATATATAAATATAGAGAGAAAGTAACACTATGATATTTGTTGTTTCAGGGTAAGAAATGTTAATTAATTTCTATACTATGTTGTCACAAAATGGATAACAAAATTTAAATGTAGATGCTTGTAACTCAAGTTATACACCTACTGCCTGAATAGAGCAAAGTTATAGATCTTATTTTATATGTCACTTTTCTGTTGGAGAATACTAATATGATGCTCCATACCATAATTCACTATGTCATAAATCAGAAAAATAATGGTTAGATGCAAGAGCCAATAGATTCCTACTTTAGCCTGCCAGTTAATTTTCATTTCCAGTTTATATATATATATATATATCAGCTTTCATTTTAGTTAAAATGCTTGATTTGTATTTGCAAAATGAGTGAATGCTATTTTGGAATCAAATTGGTTTATAATTAATTAAAGTACTTAAACTTACTAAATCAAAACTAATTTTCATCCAATAACCCTTTCTTTTGTGAAAATTTTTTTGAAGATAAAACTGTAAGATTTATAAGTCAAAATAAACAATATCTCATAATAAGACATAAAATAATTCTTGAGATTAACAATAGATTTATCCTTTTACCACTAAACAAAAAAATGAGTTGTTTTATTTGAAATTGGACAGTTTATGAGTACTTTTCTATTCATGACCTAACTAAGAAATTCTATAATTTCGACGATGTGTAGGACATACTAATTTGCCAACAAAACCAACTCCTTAGAACTCAAATTTTTATTCATGTTTAAGAGAAGAAAGAAATGTTCCATAATTAACGGAATCATGAATCTATAGCTAACCAATATGATTGGAAATCTGTGTCTCTTTCTTATCCAAGTTGAAAGCCGTTAGTGTCCTTTCAACGTTTCGTTCATGATGAAGTGAAGGAAAAAAGCTTTTCTTTTTGAGTGGCAAATAGACACTCTCCTACCAAACCCAATAAAAGGACTTCTACTCTCTCTTTACATCTTGTGGCTTACATAGCAAGACAAAATCAAATCCATCCCCACACCTTTGCTTATACCCCAAAGCACCCAACCATCACATTTAATTCTTTTTGTCCAAAACAAGTAGTGGACAGTTGAGAGAATGGCTAATTGCTAAGTAAAAAGTCTTTTATGCTTCTTAAACAAGAATGACAGGTTGAGAAGCAATGTGCCTCACTCTCCAACAGATCTTAATCATGCTGCTCCTCCTACTCTTCATATTTCTTAAGCTGACCTCCCCATGCATTTTTATACTGGACATGACAAGAGCTTTCAAAGCCAAGTCATCACTATAGTTCCCTGCTCAAACTCTGTTGTCTTCCAACATGTCGGGGAATTTTCGTCATCCCTCGATCAATGAAATTCCTGCTAAAATACTCATTGGCATCTCATTAGACCAGGATGATAGCAAGGAACTTCTGTCGTGGGCTATCAAGGTTCTGGCTCGTCCCAATGACAACATTGTTGCTGTGCATGTTCTTGGTGAGTTTAATTTATTGTTATGCCTATGTCTAAAGTTATCAAATGAATGACATTTTGATTTTAGTTTGTTGAATGGATGCAGTCAATGAGGGATCAAACAAGAATCAGAAATCTGTAAGGAAAGAACAAGCTAAGTTTAGGCAAGCTAAAGCACAGGTTATTTCTGTGCTGGGAGAATTTGCAAGGACCTGCCAATCTAAGAAGTTAAATTTGGAAGCAAAAGTAGTATGTAGCACTAGCATTGGAAGGGGCCTGGTTGAAGAATCCAAGTCCATTGCAGCTGATTTTCTTCTTTTGTGTGGCTCAAGAAACCGAGAGAAAAGGTCAGAAATCAAAACAAAATTACGAATTGCATTGTTCTTTTCTGTTCCTGTAATGGATGTTTCTTATTTTGAATTAGAAAATCGGAGGTTACAAGGTACTGTTTTGACCAAGCTCCGGAAAGCTGCACAGTTGTTTCAGTAGGAAAATGCAGGCAGCCAATGAAGGATGTAAAATCAAATTCATTAGATTTTGAAGGTTAGATTCCATTTTAGAATAACTTCAACTGTTTATTTATTTAAACATAAATTTCCAATTAGACATTCTAGCGTTTGAATTGATTCAGAAAGTCTTCGGTGGACTTCAACTTCCACATGGTCCAGCAACAGCAATGACAGTGTCAGGAGCAGGGAGGCAGCCTCCGTTGTTGATAAGCATAATGTCCCTAAAGGAAAAATGGAGGAAAAGGCTTCCCCAAGAACAGTTCTGGATGCCCTTGATGACACCTGTAGTGTCGAGAACTCCACCATTTCAGGGTCCCCTCTTCAGGGTCCCAAGTTCAAAGGGCAATCCAACAGGAAAAATCACGTGTCTCCTTGCAAAATTATCTCGTCATTATTCAGGTCACCATTAAGGAAAAGAAAGAACAGTAACGAAGAAAAGCTACAGCCATTGCTGAAGTGCTTCAGCTATGAGGAGATCTCCAACGCTACAAATAACTTCCATCCAGATAAAATAGTAGGCCGAGGAGGGTATTCGGAGGTGTACAAAGGTGAACTTCCGGATGGAAAGACTATTGCAGTGAAGAGGCTGGCCAAGGACAACAAGGATGCCAACAAGGAGAAAGATTTTCTGACAGAATTAGGGATAATTGGACATGTTTGTCACCCCAACACTGCAACCTTGGTCGGCTGCTGCATTGAAAATGGACTTTATCTTATCTTCAGCTTCTCCCAAAATGGAAATTTGGCATCTGCATTGCATGGTAAGAATAGCAAAGTCCATTTCCATTTCCTCTTCGAATTATAAAATGCATATTTCAAATTTTTGAGAACTGAATTTCAGGTAGAACAAGAGAGTCACTTGATTGGCCAATTAGATATAAGATTGCTGTTGGAGTTGCAAGAGGACTTCATTACCTGCATAAATGCTGCAAACACAGAATAATACACCGCGACATAAAGGCATCTAATGTCCTTCTTGGACCTGATTACGAACCTCAGGTGAAGCAATAGACCTCCAATGTCATTGTACTACAGTCAAAATACTTAGAAATATAACTAGAATTTCTTCTCCTTGTAGATTACTGATTTTGGCCTTGCAAAGTGGCTTCCCAACAAATGGACCCACCACGCTGTGATTCCAATTGAAGGAACATTCGGTTACTTAGCACCAGAATACTTTATGCATGGAATTGTGGATGAGAAGACAGATGTTTTTGCATTTGGGGTTCTTCTCCTGGAGATCATAACAGGTCGCCGCCCTGTGGACTCATCAAAGCAAAATCTCCTATTATGGGTAAGCAAACTTCCTCACTAAACTTTCTAGAAGCAAATTACACACTTACACACAAAGCTCTAAAATAATCATTTGAATGATGCATTTTCAGGCAAAACCTCTTATGGAATCTGGGAACATTACTGAACTGGCTGATCCAAGACTTGAAGGCAAATTCGATGAGGATCAAATGCATAGGTCAGTGCTAACTGCTTGCTATTGTGTGAGGCAATCAGCAGCATGGCGCCCATCCATGAGTGAGGTAAACTAAGAAACAATGTACATTTCTTGAGAAGCAAGGCGGTGTATCCAATCTTAGAACATTGTTTTTCAATTTGTGGTTAGGTGTTGGAGCTTCTAACAAGTGGCAATGACTCAAAGGCTGTAAAGAGCTGGAGAATGCCTAAGTTTACTTCTGATGATTTGGATGATTACTCAATGATCTTTGGATATGAAGTGCCAACAGATATTTGCTTAGAGGAATTTTTGTGAGTGTTGCGTCCAATCTATTCGTGCCCTATTCCGTCCCAAGTAGCTTTTGAGTCTTCACTCTCAAAACAGAATTTTTATGAGTGCTTGAAAGACAAAACTGACTCAAAAACAAGATAATTAGTTAGAGCTTTTTCTTCTATGCAACTGCTAGGACTAGACGGTATCTCTCTGAGGGCAGATTCTATGATTTACATTTTCACTTTGTTCCAAATGTCTTTTTGTACTGAACTTTTGGTATGTACAAAGAAAGGGAATGGTATTATGGTAGACTTCAATCTGAAGTCAAGTTCTTCAAATTAAACACCTACACAACAGTACCAATGGGCCGAAAAATCCACTTCTTAGTTGGACTTCCGAAAAGGACCGCTAGCTACCAAAACTAATTTCGCAATATGGGTTTATGCTTTAGCGACGGCCCAATCTTAAGCACCCAATTTGGGGTGGTTCTTATTCAAGTCCCCAGTCTGGTCAAGTTACTATGATTTGAGTCATACTAGGCATAATTAGCTATTTTTATATTGAAACTCAGCATAATTGTAAGATTTTTTTTTTATACTAATCTCTTGACTTATTTCTTTATTTACAAAAACTCAAATTTAAGACATTATTTTAATAAAATTAAATTCATTTTACTTAAATTAATATATCGTTAATAATAATTATAGGATTATAATCTTATATAAAATTATAACAATAGCACTATCATATATCATAAGTCAATTTTTTAATTGTCTAATTTTGTTTTGATGTGGACACTTTTGTAAGTATGGAAGTGTCTCATGAATTGGGGTGCCCCAGGCCGAGTTAAGCTTGGGCAAGGCCATATGTCATTCCTGGATATGATGAGATCTATGTCATGACTTATCAACATCGTTTAATTATTTTAGAGGTTGGATGTCCCTTCTCCCTTAATAATATGGAGGTCCTACGAATTCCGATGCACAAACCTTATGCCTCAATGATATATGGAGTAACACATTTGATTTTATCTTTTCACGCTTTAGACACCCTGAAATTCTGCTCTATCAAATTAAGCTTACCTTATCATATCAAAATGTGATGGGTGGCTAGTTGATGCGAAAACAAAAGTATCCATCTTAAGTTTTTTTTTTTTTTTTGTATTAATCTCTCGGTATCTAGTAATTACATTTGATCTTATGTAATTCGGAATCGAATCGCGTCAGATCTCATTAAAAAGAAAACTCTTTCAATATCTATTTCTCTATTCACAATTTGTGAATATGATGAGATCTATATCATGATATATCAACGTCGTTTAATTATTTTAGGTTGGATGTCCCTTCTCCCTTAATAATATGGAGGTCCTACGAATTCGGATGCACAAACCATATGCCTCAATGATATATGGAGTAACACATTTGATTTTATCTTTTCACGTTTTAGACGTCCTGAAATTCTGCTATATCAAATTAAGCTTACCTTACCATATCAAAATGTGATGGTGGCTAGTTGATGCGAAAACAAAAGCATCCATCTTAAGGTTT